TACCATCGGGGTATGTTAAATATGATACAAACAGTAGTGTATTTATACCATCGGTCTATGTTAAATATGATATATACAGTGGTGTATATATACCATCGGTGTATGTTAAATATGATATATACAGTAGTGTATATATACCATCGGTCTATGTTAAATATGATATATACAGTAGTGTATATATACCATCGGTCTATGTTAAATATGATATATACAGTGGTGTATATATACCATCGGTGTATGTTAAATATGATATATACAGTAGTGTATATATACCATCGGTCTATGTTAAATATGATATATACAGTAGTGTATCTATACCATCGGTCTATGTCAAATATGATATATACAGTAGTGTATCTATACCTTCGGTCTATGTTAAATATGATATATACAGTAGTGTATCTATACCATCGGTCTATGTTAAATATGATATATACAGTAGTGTATCTATATCATCGGGCATGTTAAATATGATATATACAGTAGTGTATCTATACCATCGGGCATGTTAAATATGATATATACAGTAGTGTATCTATATCATCGGGCATGTTAAATATGATATATACAGTAGTGTATTTATACCATCGGTCTATGTTAAATATGATATATACAGTAGTGTATATATACCATCGGTCTATGTTAAATATGATATATACAGTAGTGTATCTATACCATCGGTCTATGTTAAATATGATATATACAGTAGCGTATCTATATCATCGGGCATGTTAAATATGATATATACAGTAGTGTATCTATACCATATCGGTATATGTTAAATATGATATATACAGTAGTGTATATATACCATCGGGGTATGTTAAATATGATATATACAGTAGTGTATCTATACCATCGGTCTATGTTAAATATGATATATACAGTAGTGTATCTATATCATCGGGCATTTTAAATATGATATATGAAGTAGTGTATCTATACCATCGGTCTATGTTAAATATGATATATACGGTAGTGTATCTATACCATCGGTGTATGTCAAATATGATATATACAGTAGCGTATCTATATCATCGGGCATGTTAAATATGATATACTCAGTGGTGTATCTATAGCATCGGGCATGTTAAATATGATATATACAGTAGTGTATATATACCATCGGTCTATGTTTAATATGATATATACAGTAGCGTATATATACCATCGGTCTATGTTAAATATGATATATACAGTAGTGTATCTATACCATCGGTCTATGTTAAATATGATATACACAGTGGTGTATCTATAGCATCGGGCATGTTAAATATGATATATACAGTAGTGTATCTATACCATATCGGTATATGTTAAATATGATATATACAGTAGTGTATCTATACCAACAGTAGTGTATCCATACCGCCAGTCGATGGAAATGTTTAATATGTATTTATCTATAATTTACCTATACTGACGTTTTGTGGTGATGCATAATGTAGGCGGTAACATATTTATACCGCTGCTCTTCGTAAATAAATAATAAAGACCTGTAGTCTATCTTAACGCCGGTCTACAAATGAACGTAATGCATTATAAAGACAATGATCTATCCATTGCGCCGTTGTTTGTTTATATCTAATGTGGACAAAGATACAGTAGTATTTATATCGCTGGTCTATGTAAATAAATAGGTTGTGATCATAGCACACATACTTCTTGTAAACGCTTGAAAATTTGACTCATTTATAAACAAACAGGTGGAAATACTGGCGACTTCACTTTCTGCTAGTCAAGGAACAAGTCATTGGTATGACAAATCACGACATGTTGCCGTCGCTACGATAGGGAAAGTTAAATATGATGTAGGCTGACCTTGACACTTGGGTTGTTGTCATAGTCATCAATGATACATTAAATATGCATAATGATTAAGTTCAAGATGCCAAATTCTAGATCAAAGTGTGGAACGCAGATTCGTTACAACTTTTTACAACTCAGGTCAGCAAAAGTATTGTGCACGACACTGCATAATGTATGTATTGGTTATGTTATTTTATGTCGCTGTATTATTTGGATAAAGTTAAGACACTATATAATGTTATCCTTGATTGTAATCGATTTGCGGAAGCAGACCATCATAAGGAGCTGACAGGAACATGAGATGTAGCAATTTGTGGCTATTCATAGATCCCTATATAAGTAGGTGCAGACTGACCTTGGGTCAGAGGTCTGGAAGATAATGGAGGAACAACGTCCTTTAATTTTTCACCAAATCAATTAAAAACAATATGTTTTTGGAGAAATGTACCCCATCTATGACTTGCCAAGTACACACAATATACTCATTGCACATAATAAAGATAATAACACGCCGTTAAATAAAACAAAAAGGCTAATTTTAATTCACATGAAGTGTTCTTGCTGTTGGTAAATTTTACAAGTCTAACAATTACTTGAAATCAGGCATTTTTTGTCCAAAGACGACAAACAAAACGATACAAAAACACATTTTGAGTATTTTTTTCTGCAAATATGGTGATACATTTATGATGGCTAAGTAGATAAAATGAATGAAAACAAAAGAAGTTATACATGTTCCCAGGATAGTTGTTCTATGTTTCTAGGAATTATTTCCGAAAATATCTGTTTAAACTTATCTAGAACTTATCCCAGAGATATTTGTATGCCTCGCTTCCTCCCCTCAAGGAATTATAAACTGCAGACCTAAGTTGATGTTAAAATGAACATTTTGACCTTAATAGTTTGTACAAATCAAAATCTCGTTCACTATCCTGGAACACACGGGGCAGCGACCTGTATGTTAGACCATCTCATAAACGTAAAAATACCGAATACAAAACAGCATTTAAAGACGTCACTCTAAGTCCTGTTTATGATCAGGCATATACATTGTGTTTTATACAATAGAACTTAAGGAAAGGGTTTGTTACAATAAATATACCATGAATCTGTAACATAAGTAAATGGTATCAAGCGATTGAGGACTACACACAAGTATTAAAGTGTTTTTGTATTGTAAAGAGACACTGACATAAACGTTCATCCCAAACAGAATGTTTTATTCCCGTTGGATCAGAATTGATGAAACTATTGAGGTCACTGTAGCCTTGCAAATCTCAAGATAAATGTAGATTTTCCTCTTTTGATCCAACGTTTCAAACGTGTCTGTACCATCCTCGAACAGTACGTAAACATCATTTCCCTCTTACCATGTTAATATAACAAACAAACCTGGTCAACAGGTACATATATTTATCAATTAAGTTCATATATCACTATCACTGTTCAATGTTCAGTTTTAGGATTGTTACATTAGCATGAAGGTGCAGCGACACAGGGACATGTTGCCATTCATTAGCTATGTCTTACGTCCGCCATAGCGGTTATAATTGACAGCTCTTTATACTTCGTGTCATATGTAGCTTTGATTTATTATATAATATTCAATTAAGAAGATGTTTGTTAGGAAGGTATGTTTCCTGCTGTAGCAGAACACAGTAGTGAGCTCTATTTATGACGTAACACCAATTTAATTACTTGTTTTGTTTTCCAACACGATTTCATGAAAGAAAAGCAATATCTATAGATTTGACGGTGTCACTGTAGCAGACGTCTAATAAGAAAGCCAAGATTTTCGAATCGGGTATTAATCTAAGTCAGTGGTATGAACAATATCTGCATTAATCTTATACATTATATCCATTTTATATGAACGCATAACTTTCAAGCGTTAGAAAATAACAATAAGCTGAATAAAAGTATGACATCAAAAGCCATCAGGTCACACGTTATTAGACACACATGTAGATGTTACACGTCTCCTCGCATCACGACAAACACATTTAAGCACACAGAGGGTTCACGCGGTACGGATCACCAGCGGTGTTTACCGTCAGCACCTATTTGGTAGGCCGGGGAATTATGTCCACACGTTTAAAATATACTGTCACTATTTAGTATGATAGCGTTTACGAAATTGCTAATATTAACTTAACAACAATATCTAACTTGATAATCACATTGCCATCGCGTTTTAACTTCAGTTCTCTGGTATATGTATCATCATACAAATGTACAAGAACAAAGCAAAACTAATATGGCTTAAGAAATGAACCAAATGAACAGCAAAACACAAAAAAATTCTTCAGAAACAAGTATTTCGTTTAATTCTTGATGCAGACATAGATTTGAAGAGATGAAACAGCCTTACTAGCAACATTTCGATTCATGTCACGGACTGAGTTAGGAATTATTAGATTTCTATCTCCTCTGAGGATACCCCCAAGGGATCACCTTTAACAGTAGTGATTACAAACCAGCACTGTTCATGCATTGAGGACGTGATATGACTCGGATCTAACCTAGACTTACATGGCCATGTCGTCAATGAAGCACGTTAACCTTTCTGAAACACATGGTCGTATTAACCTTTTACATAGTTTTCCATAACTGCGTTTATTCGATAAAAAGTTTGAAAAAACGGTTTTGTTGAAATTTAGGTTGTCTGCTAAAGTGCTTAATCGAAAAGGATAAATCAATATATTTTTAATTTGTTATTTTAATTTATATCAGCAAAACTTATTTAACGTGGTTATACAAAACAGGAACAGTTTGATACGCTGTCTAATGGGGCCGTCACACCATAACGTTCTGATCAGCGTTCTATGACATTTGAGGAAACGTTGGTAATCGTCAGTGGTCGCTGGTATAGCGACAGAAGGGCGTTGTGTGAACGCTGATGAACGTTGGTAATCGGCGGTGATCAGCGGAGAACGCTGATATGAAAATAAAGTTTTGAACATGCACAAAAAGTTCTCATGGATACCAGCGGTCTTGAACGTTTAACTTTAAACGCTGGAGAACGCTGGAGAGCGTTCGTGGAACGTTGTACTAGTCACATACCAGATGTGTCCACCTCACCCTAGAACACTCGAAACTGGAACGATTAAACATTCTTAGAACGCTGGCCAGAACGTTGGTGTGACGGACCCTAAAGCAAAGCTTTTCAAAGACAAATAACTCCACTCTACCTGTGCTGTGGTATTCCTAGTAGAAACACACTTATAACCATTTGGAATCCGGCTATTGCGTAGGTCAGACACAGAAGACAGTATAACCATTTTTGATATGTTCCAAACTCTCCAACAGTTTTCAATATCACGTCAAATTGCATCACTTTAAGCACACTTGTTTGTTGATATTGCTGCCGATGTTGTTAAATGGCGATGCAGTAATACGTTTTATTAGGTGCAAGTATATGTCCTGTACACATTCTTAGAAGTTTGCACCGTGCTGCTACACAACACTGTCCATAGGGCGTTTGTCTACACGGCAGTCCTACCTTACTGCGGTCACACTACAACATAAAACATTACCTCGCATACCAACTGTTTTTATTTGATATATTGTGACCATAAACACTATTTTGTTTGTTACATTAGAAAATAATGATACTGTCATTGTGGTATTGTCACGATCGTATTGTGACATGTTGACAACATCATGGAATGATATAATTTCAACCACCAACAGGAATATGATACCATACGGATTGCCACATGTGGTGCAAGAAACAGTAACCCTTGTCTCATCGCCACTTTTATTTGGTGGGAGCTCAAAACGTCTTTTTCTTGGTATGTAATTGGTTCGCTTTTCATATCATTCTATTATATTTTTTTTTTACTACATGGAGCACAGAAAAAACAACGAATTTTAGTCAAATTGGTATTGGAGGTCGCAATAACTTCTAACAACAGAGGCACGCATCAAGATCTGCGTCAACTTTATTAGTTATATCTGGGTTAGGAGGGATCTACGGGCTCACTGGTCTATAAAAACCAAAGGGGCCTATGAGCCAGAGATAACGAATTTGTCACCCTGACAATCTTTTATTACTTTTTTTCCTGTAAAGGTACTATATAAGTCACTTTGTGAGTTTGAGTTGTACTTGACTGCTACCAAAATAGCCCCTACCGGACACCTTTTCGGCAATATTTCGGACAAAACACTACCATCTTTCTAATAAGCACCCTAGAGGCCCACTCATTGCCTGTTTCGTTGAATTTACTGTCAATTAAGCAGACTATTTCATCATGAGAAGAATTGGCACACATCGAACGCTTGTGTATGTGTCGGTCGCCATCTTTGTTGTTATGAAGATTATTTTTTTTTGAGTAATCTCCCCTCGCACGTGCTTATATAGACCCCGACAGAGGTGGGTCTATAGAAATATAGACCTCGGCAAGATATCCAATCAGAAAGAGTGTGACAAATATATATAGGAGATCAATCCTTACGTGAGCAGAAGTGAGACTAATTACGACAAACGTTAACACTTACGTAATTCATAACGTTTAACCACATAGATACTAGCCTTAACATGACTGTATGGTTATAGATGAGAGGATGTTACACATGATATGTTACAGAGATATTAAAACATCGGGATGATATAGTGTTGACTGTTACACAGAGTCTGTACTATACTGATTACAACAACAAGTTTATGTTATTGGGACTGCGATATAGTTGCTTTATCATTATTATTATACTTCATCTACAAAGCAGCGTGTCTGATTGCATTATATTAATCACATGACGAGGATATAAAACCTCGTGTCTTTCTCGCGCGCTCGAGTTTTTTTGTAACTTTACCTTTTTCTGAACTTATTGCTTATTCGGCAAGAGCTACCACAAACAGGTTCCTTGTTGCTGCAGCAGATGACAGTTATGGTGTGTCAATCTTTCTATTTACATATTGTTTGATTGCCCTTGTGGTAGGGAAACATGATTCTTTGTTCCCCTCGATTAATCATGTTTCACTCAGGCTTCGCCTTCGTATTACATGGTTAAAGTCTGAGAAGCAAAGAACTGTTTCCCCTTAACACGTGCAATATATGTATATCATAAGGGCTATAACACAATAGCAATTAAATAGAGGAATATAACATACAAATCACAATCGTGATGGGCCATGAATTGCTATCTTTGGTCACGGTCGAACGTCTTCAAAAACATGATTGCAAATTACACCATTTTTTTTATTCAAAACTACTAGGCGTCATTTGAAAATGCGGGTATGTATATCTCGTTAAATCTCGCACCAATGATCATATTTGATCATGCTAAAAAAAATCAACCTTTGTAACTTTTTATCATTTTCTGTGAACATTTGGATTAGCGTTACACATGAAGAGTAAATCAGCGATACCAAGTACATATCAGAATCTCTCAGGCCTAACGACGCTGTCTGCTGTTGTTGAAATAATCTGATTTGAGGTGACGATGTCATGATTTTTATCAGTTATTTTTTGGAAAGTATTAAACACGTTGTATTAAAAATGAAGAAAAGACATGATAAAAAACAGTATGAATTTTAAAGTGATAGGAAAGTTGAAAATGAATAGTATGTGGTGAGTAGGGGATATTATCTTGTATCAGGTAGGCCTACTGAAAGACAACATACGACACAAGTGTTTCATCCTTCGTTTTTCTTGTAGTACAGTTTTGTATATCATGATTTATACCATCATAAAAATAGTCCCAGACCCATCGTACGTAATGATTTAACAACATATTGATTCTAGAGTTTTGATATTCTCTAGTTTTGGTTAAAATTCTGTTGTATAGTCCTTGGTGCACCCCCTTCAGACCTCTAAGGTGATATTTTAAACTCCTGGTACCACCTCTATGGACCTCTCTAGTTCAGAGATCCCTCAGTATCTCCCATATATAAAGCTTTTCTGTCCAGGACATTTAGTGTCGTTTGATGTCATGATGACAAAAAAAAAAAAAAATCTTTCTCCAAAGTTCTGAGTAGAGATTAAAGTTCTATAATCTGTATTGACTAAAACCTCCCAGTAATTGTAAGCGATATCGTTTAATAATTTGACACATATTGGTATTTCGTTTTAAAAAAATGTTAGATTTACCACTGTTTATACTTCAATGATATGTACAATGTAAATTGTGTCAAAAATATGTTAATTTTGACAATTACATTTCAGTTATGAAAATTAAATGTAAGTTTTCGACAATAGTACGTACAGTAATTTATTACAATACTATTTAAGTAATGACAATAAATGCGTGTTATGACATCAATATGGCGAATACGACATTAATCAATCAAACAAATATTTTCTTTTTTCAAATAGGCAATAAACATTCATTTTTATTTTATCAATTGCAGATTTTAAGCACTTTGTTCCTGCAAGTGCCTAAAATAACAAAATTAATGCAAAGTACAATAACTAACTGTCGATTTATATTTAATAACATATGATTACAACCCAGAGTTACACCATTTCATTCCGCAATCAATGTCCCCTCTAAGATATTCCGTCTTTTCGTATTGCTCTTGTGAGCAGGTATTGATTTTTACGTCATTTGTTTGTGAGAGTAACGGGATCACTTTGTGAGAAAACGGCGTAATTTTCTCACACAAACCAATGACCTTACAATCAATACCTGCTCACAAGAGAAGATAACTCGGGACAGCTTTTGTTTAGCAACCGACTCTAAAATGACTATAAATGGTTCTTTGATTTAAAATTATTATTTTTTATCAGAAATGTCACATTAATTTTGATTAAGCTCCATGTTTTTAAGCCGAGGGCACATCAATTCTACATACCATTGCTCGCAAAGTAATATGTACAGCAAGGTGATTGTTTTAATTTCACTCGCCTTATATATTATTTTCTTAAATGAAAAATGGATATTTCACACTAAAGTTATTAAAGAAGGACGCACCACAACTGATGCAAACCAATGTACTTTCAAGATTTTATCAAATTAAAATTCACATAAAAATATGTCTACATAAAGATTACGACGAGTTTTGTCTGTTCGCGTCTTCATCACGCTGAAAATAAAGTTATTATTACACCTCATGTGTATATGACATTATACAGTAAACCCTAAGCTCCATCAAAGAAGATACGCTCCTGTCGTAAGTAAATCTGAAGTTAAACATTACCGTAGATACATGTATATATATATATACTGCTTGACGTCAGAATCTGGGTCATGTAAAAGAAGATGAAATATATGTGACTTTGACATTTCTTGGTTACACTGTCTGTAGCCTAACCTCATTGTGATTTCTACTCGTTTAATAGTTGATGATTATATTGAGACACCAAACATGATGCCTCATGTTTACTGTAAAACGTCTATTGACGCCACGTTGTCAGGGGAATCGATATTTAACAAGGTGACAGTAATTATTTACTTTACGATTGCAAAGAGTAACCACCAGTTTTCCTCAATTAAACATTCTTAAAGTGAAAATGCAGATCAACCTAAGGCGAACATATTGGCATGAAGTTATGTCAGTAGCAGGTTATGCGGTGGGTACTTTTCAATTCTGTGGGTTTCCCGTTATTCCACTCATTTATATACCTATATTGGACATGTAAATGATCATTTTGAACTTTTGAAGGTTATTCAGTCTTTCATACAATATAAATACAAATAATACAAAAGATGTTAATAGTTGATAATAAAGCCATTTAAACTGTTTAACCTAGTTTTAAATGGGCTCAATATAGTTTACTAACTAACCTGTAATTTGGAATTCCAAGTAAAAACACGTTTATTCCCATATGGAACGCCGCAACGCCGTTGACCAAACATAACAGCAGAAAAACACATTTCTGATAAAATCCAAATTCTCCAATAATGACAAGAATTTCTTCGAATTTCTTCATTTTGAAATTATCTAACGAGCAAAAGTATTAAGGCATACATACATGCTGTTATATAAATATATACGGGCAACACACAGCAAAGATTATTCACCACACTACAAATGACATTCTTTTAAAACCCACGTGCGTGTGCATTGGACGTCAGCTCCAAGGGCAAAGATAGCATATGCACAGAAAAAGAACAAAAACGTTCAAAGTATAAGAACTTTGACCTTTCCAAGTGTGTTGTTATTGTTAGCTGCACTTAAATGCAACGATGAGGAATAACCAGGATTGTATTTGTGATTATACTGAGGAAAATGTGTGCACTTCTGTGCAACAATCACTAAGCTGATTTATACAAAGTTCATATAGATATATTTTTATTACATACGGTACACGAAGACCCCAAATTTTATCCTGTAACTCCTTAAATATAAATATATATGTGTATACTGATTTGGATTTAATGTTGAACCTAGAATTGAAAACGAATTTGAATTATTTGAACTGAATCAGAAGTATAAGCTGGAACTTGTAATTTAATACATGTAGTAATATAGTTCGATTCGACTACTAAGTAAACCTACTTACTATCAAACAAAAAACCCTGTGTAAAACAGAAAGACCCACAGGTCATTCCCAAATCGACTTTA